AAAAAAAAAATACAGCACGCACATTTGCACATTTGTCCTTTTGCCCATTTTAATTTCCCTTTTTTTTGTTTCATCTTATTTTCCCTTTTTTTGTTTCATCTTATTTTCCCTTTTTTTGTTTCATTTTTTTTTTTTTTAATTCCGCATAACGTTGCGCTTCTACATTTTTGCGCCTTTACACTGTTCCGCTTCGCGCTCTTCCTCTTTTTGCCGTCTTGCGCTTTGCCCTTTTGCGGTCCTCCAGCAGTTAGCCAAAATGATGTTAAAAAAAATTTACAATGGTCACTTCCGAAGGGTACCCTCCGGGTGAGTTTGTGCAAAAAGATAGAGGGGGAAATGACCCTGAAGAGTTTCGCTGTGCCGTTTGGCAACTCCAAACTCCCAACACATCACCGCATGAGTGCGCTTGTTTGCACTTACGAGGTGTAGGGTTTTTTTACAATGGTATACAGCACAACGAGCAGGAACGACGTTGGTTAAATATCCACCCTACTTGTTCTTTTCCTCATAACAGAGACAAGGCTGAAAGCACCTTCAACACGGAGAAATCATCAGTAAGGAATATTCAAACGAGAGAAATATATGAGCCGTGTGTGTATGTGGGTCCCTACATCGGGTATACTTCCCTCTGGGTGTACTCCACCAAGTTTTCGTTCTCCTTTTCGTGTAACACCCCTATGGAGTGTGGTTAATTTTTTGCGGACAATCCATCCTCACTGTCTCATTTGTCGACCACGTGCGCACCTCCTTTTGTAGGGAGAGGAATTCACCGAAAGCAAGAGCTTTGAAAAAAAAGGTAAACTGAATTAGCAACAAGGTGGAAAAAAAAAAGAAGAAAAAAAAAAAGGGAGCAGAATGGCAACGATGTTGTGCTCCATCGACATACGCATACAACAGACGCGAGCTCATTCTTCTCATTGGCTAGTTACAAAATTGGACTTTTTTTTTTTTTTTTTTTCCCCTTTGCAGATTACGGAATTGTGGACAACATTATTTACGGTGCAGGTAAATTTTGGAGTCTTTTTTTTTTGACTCGTTCAGGAAAGAAAATTTTTTTTGGAATACGTGGCGTGTGTTGATTTTACCATTGCGTTTTTCTTTTGTCCTCTTTTCCGGGGGGATGCGTTGCAACACGTGGAAATGTGTTTCTTTTCTGAGTCGCGCGTTCACATTCTTTTTCCTCCGTTCGCAGGCATGGGCGTTGGGGCAGTCGGCCTGTCCTTGGCGGTGATCAGTTCCACCGTGATCGCCTCGACGTTGTTATTCTCATCCTACTTTTGCGCCAACACGTGTAACGTAAACGAAGAGGAAGAAGAATTATCAGAGGAGCATATGTAGGGGGAAGCAGACAGCTCGATCTTATCCCGCGCGGCACCGAGCAGCAACCACTTGGTACGAGTGACCATAACCGTTACAGTGGACAACACATGGCCGATCACCGCTGTGTGCACGCATCGCCAGTCTACCCATGCATACATGTCCCTTTTTTGGGGGGGAGGGACAGAGAGAGGTCCACTGCTCCTTTTGAAGTGCCCCCCCCCCCCCCCCTTCTGCCCAAGTTGCACGTGCATGACTTCGACACAGCCCCCATTAGTTCATACCAGTGTCCATCCCTCTTGTCTGTCCCACCTGGTGTGTCTGCCCTCTCCGCCTGAATTCTTACTCTCCCATTTTTTTTTTTTTTTTTTTTTTAAACATCTTTAAAATTATGACTTGTTCATACCAAACGTACAAAATAAAAAAATAAAAAAAAAAATGAAACATGGGCACTGAACAAATGTTGAAATGGGAAGGGGGAACAAAAAACGGAAATAAAAAAGAATTAAAAAAGAGAGAAATCACAGAAGGACCTCATCGAAGGTTAGTAGAGAGTACCAACCAACCACACACACACGTGTGCACAAAAAAAAAAAAAAAAAAAAAAACTCTGCGTCAACTGTCCTCAATAATTTCGTCCACCTTGTTGTTACTGTAACATTCTGCAGAAGGAGAGTAGGAGGGGGGAAAAAAAAACAAAAAATCGTGAATTATGTACTTGTCTCTCCCCTTATGGTGCAACACATCAATGTGTTCCTTTTAGCCACGGTGAGCCACTTACCAATTATCATGTCCATGTATTCGTTCTTCGAGAGAATCATATACTCACAGGGTGTTTCTGCGGGGTGTGCGTGTGGGGGAAGCAGGTTGGAATGTGTGGCAAAATTCACAGCCGTGCAGGACGCCACGTGTGCGGCGCGAGGCATACATGGACTACTCACCTGCGATGCAAGTGCTTTTGTTAAAATACACATGCTGGGTGTACCACTTTTTAAACAAAATGTTGATGTTCTTGTGAATGACATTGGAGTTGGTATTGGAGAGGCCGCTATGCAGCCTGCTGCCCATAGCGCTACCCGTAGTACTACCCATAGCACTGCCCGTAGCGCTGTGTTCCATTTTTTGTGGGCCGCTTTTGTGCCTGGAGAGGGAGCTGCTCTTGGGACGCAGTGAGTCTTTCTTGTCATCCGAGCTTTTCTTTTTAAAAAATAAAGATTTTTTTTTTTTTTTTT